GGAAAATTTGCTAAAAAAGAACATAGTGCTGCATAAAGAACAAATAAAAATGAAGGATTTCCTCAGTGAGAATGACTGGCACTCGCTATATTGAGACTAATCATTATGGACGTGGTACCTGACTGAGCCACGCACCGTGGTACCTGACTGAGCCACGCACCATTCTGTTTAATATGTTGTAGCTCTGGCTCAGAGCCAAATGGACAGGAAAAATTGTAACATCCCTGGTATTTCCTCTTGTCCTAGAAAGATTAGACTAGATCTTCACAGGGGGAAAAAATTGGTGACCTCTTGCTGTAATGATCTCTAATTTTGTGTATATAAACATTCATGTCACATTCACGTTAAGATTTCACCTTGATTTATTGCAATTAGAAAATAATCTTAGGAATGAGATAAAAAGTTGATCTACTCATTCTGTTTTGTCTTTCCCATGGCACATCTTTTAAAAATTTTTTACATTTTTTTTATATTCCTCTGAATTATTTACAAAGTTAGAATACATTGTTTTTCACACAATATCCTTCCCATTTCCATCACCCCCCCACCCACTGAGTTGTGCAACCCTATGATTAACACCCTACCTCATCCCTCTATTTCCACCCTCCCCACCCCACCGTGGATCCTCATACTCATTCTACAATAATTGCTTTATACAGTATTTGTCCTTGTGGGACTGAGTTAGTTCTCTCAGCATAATGCTTTCCAGTCCCTCCTAAATTAGGTAGTAATTTGCAAAATCATTGCTCCTGCATGCTGCGTAGTATTCCACTGTATTAATGCACTACAATTTATCAACAGATTCGTTTGTGGTTGGGCTGTTTCCATGTTCTTGCGATGGTGAACAATGCTGCTATGAACATTGGTATATAAGATTTCATTTGAGCCTCAATTCTCATTTTCTTGGGGTATATTCTAAGCCATGGAATAGCTGGGTCACATGGAATTTCTATGTTCAGCTTTTTGAGGAAGCGTCCATGGCACATCTTAAGTATTTGTTGTTATTGTTGTTAGATGCCATGGAGTTGAGTGTGACTCACAGAGACCCTATAAAGAAGAGATCTGAGTGCTGTCCTAGTGTGTGTCATCCTCACCATCTCTGATACACTTTAGTCCATTTCTGCAGTCACCATGACAAACCATCCCAGTGGGGCTCTTCCTTTCTTTCACTGACCCTCCACCCTTCCAAGTGATGTCCTTTTCCAAGGAAAAGCCTCTCCCAGAAACATGCCCAAAGTATGAGAGACAAAGCTTTGCCATCCTTGTATCCAAGGAGCACTCCAGCTGCACTTTTTCTAAGACATATCTGTTTGTTCTTTTGGAAGTCCATGGGCTATTCAGTACTCTTCTCCAACACTAACAATTCAAATGCATCCATTTTCCTTCTGTCATCCTTATTCATTGTCTAGCTCTCAGATGCACAGCAAATGATTGGAAAGACCATGGTCTGAATCAGGCACACCTTAGTCTTCAAGCTGATACCATTACTCTCCAGTAGTTTGGAGAGATAACTGACAGTGGACTTTTCCAAAGCAATACATGTCCTTATCACATGATTGCTGGTACCAAGGATGTTGATTGGGCTTAATATCTGTTAATTATCTACTTTCCCATGTTACCTATTTGGTAATCATGCTGTAATGATTCTATGTGTAAACCTTTCTTTAGCTTTTTATAACAGTAACATTATTCATTATTTGTCCTATTGTGAGTGACTTATTTCACACAGTACAATATTTTCTAAACTCACCAATGTCATATGTTATTGTTGTTGTTATGTGCTGTCGAGTTGCTTGAGACTCATAGCGACCCTATTTACAAAAGCCCTAAACCTTGCTTTGTCCTGTGTCTCCAACACACCCACCCTGATTACTCCAGTCACTGAATCAATCCACCTCATAGAGGGTCTTCCCCTTCTGTGCTGTCCCTCCACCCTAGCAAGCATCATGTCCTTCTCCAACTTCCCTCTGTGCAACATGTCCAAAGTATGTCAAATGAAGCTTCAGAATCCTTGCCTCCAAAGAGCAGCATGGTTTAACCCTCTCCAGGATAAATCTGCTCATTTTCTTAGCTGTCCATTGTACATTCAATACTCTTCTCCAGCACCACAGCTCAAAGGCATCAATTCTCCTTCTATCCTCCCTAGTCACTGTCCAGCTCTCTAATGCATAGCAGGTAATTGCAAAGACCATGGCCTACACGTTCACCTTCATCTCCAGAGTGACACCATTGCTCTTGAGTACTTTAGCGAGGTCCCTAACAGCAGACTTTCCCATGGCAATACATCTTTTAATTTCCTGAGTATTGGTGCCAAGAGTGTTGAATGCTATATAGTATTTCAAGAATTCTTCATTTTTCTCCAATGTTGCATAGTGCCGCATTGTGTGAATATACCATAGTTTCTCTAATTATTTGTTGATTGACACTTGGATTGCTTCCCTATTTTGTGAATAAGGCTGCAGTAAACACGGGTGTTCATATATCTGTTGGTGTCACAGCTCTTCTCTTTAGAAGATTCCTTACAATGGAATAGCTGGATCATATCTGTTTCCTAGTTTCAACATTTTACAGAAATGTCAAACTTCTTTCCTTACACCATGTATCTGCTTTATACCATTTAACCTTTCCCCCAGCAGTATGTGAGAGTTTCAATCTCACCATACCCTCACCGGCATACGTTGTTTACTGTCTTATTGAACCGTGCTGTTATAGCTGGAGTGTGATGACATCTTATTATTGTTTTTATTTGCCTTTCTCTAGTAGCTAGTGATCTTGAGCATTTTTTTTTTCCCATGTAACAGTCTATGTGCTGTCATTTCTGTCTGGAATGATCTATGCATGAATGATTGAGAAAAGTAATATGCTTATTCACTTTCACTCAAATCGCATAAAAAGAAAAATAATTCAGTAAAAAGGAAGAGTTAAGGCCCACCTGTAGGATAAGTTTTAGATCATAACTATAAAGTGAGGCATGTAAGTTTTCTTATTTCCTAGTGCATAAAGAAGTTACGCAACATATCCATTTAAAGACTAAGGTTATGCCTACCCTAAGTCATGGCATTTTCAGTTGAATCATAGACATGTGAAAGTGGAACTGTGAATAAAGAAGTCCGGAGAAGAATCAGTGCCTTTGAGTTGTGGTGTTGGTGAAGAGTGTTGAGTGTACCAGGGATTTCCAAGATAACAAACCTATCTGTTGTGAAGGACGTACAACCAGGATGATTCTTAGAGTCAGGGATGGTGAAACTTTGTCTCACAATCTTTGGGTATGTTGAAAGGAGGCATCAGTCACTGGAGAAAGACATGCTCGGAAAAGTAGAGGGTCAGGGAAAGAGAGGAAGACCCTTAACTAGATAAACTCACAGTTTGTACAGCAATGGTCCTGAGCATGGATGAGATTAAAAGGACGGCACAGGATAAGGCAAGGGTGTGATCTGTTATTCAGAAGATCAGCATTGGATGCTACCTCCAGAAGG